GAGAGAGAAAAGTAGAGTAGACGTACGTAGTAGTACGACGACGACGACGACGACGACGTAGAGAGAGAGAGAGAGAGAGAGAGAGAGAGAGAGAGAGAGAGAGAGAGAGAAGAGAGAGAGCGAGAGAGAGAGGAACCTTATATATAGAAGCCAAGAATCACTGATCAGAAATGCTATTTTTAATCATATCCGTTTTGATGTACGATGTGCAATTATAGTGTACATGTACATTGAATCTTTTGAACCATGACATAAACACGTAAGTATAATCCGGAAATGTGTGTATGTGCGTGTGTCCAGCTGCTTGTCTGTTTTTCTATAAGTCTCTGACTTATACTTAATTTTCTTTCCACTGCTTTTATGCTCTCTTGCTTCCAGAAATTCAAACTATGCACAGCGATATATTGCAGATATTTTGGAGAGGACGTGTGGTGTATAGGCTCGAAGAAAGCCCAATATTTTTATCATGCTGTATTTTTCTTTGCCTCTCTTTATTCTTCTTTAGCTCTCGTTCTCACACGCTGCGCCTACATATTATCTGTTTATTGTTGGAATGAGAATCCGAAATAGTAAGGAAAGATTTAGGTAAGAAACACGTGCGCAGAGGCGCGACTTAATTAAGCTCTAGCTGCCAGACTGCCGGTTGCTGAAAGCATCAACAGTGAAACTCTAACCTCAGCCGCTCCTCATTAGGTAGCAGCTAATGATCTTATAATTAATCTGTTGACCACTGTGCTGCTGCTTCTGTTTTAACATGTGTGGCCGAGTGGCTCCCCATGGGGGCTTCGAAAAGCCCAGCTGCATTTCGTCTGTTTCTACAGTAGTTTTGTCGAGGTTTTTTCGCGCCGTGCTATGTTCTAGTCAGCACACACATATCGTGCCTGGCGAGCTTGAGGATTTACATCGTTTCGCGCGTATTTCGGGGAATTTGCATGCGAACGATGGTATCCTGGTTGCCATCGGCAGCTTGTTTCCAAACTTGATGTGATTATGTTCTTTCATGTATGCAGTCGTGGAACCTATGAAACAAGTGACTATTTGGCAGACTTTTGTAGTGAAAAAAATACGGGAACTGTATTTACAGTGGGAATTATTATCCACAATTCTGGACAGGGTAGCGGAATTGCTCACATTTGTAAAGCACTGTGATGACGCATATGTGTTTGTAGTTAAATGTGTTTTAATTAATTTTTTTCATTCGCCATTTGTTCAGCATATGAAATATTTAAGGGCAATAGCAATAGAGGCCCCAGGTGTGCACACCATTACAGCACCACGCAACGATTTCATTCTATCGTCAAGGAAATATGCGGACCGCGCCGTAACAGTGGGCCGCAAATATACGTCTGTTTGATTAGTACATGTTTATTCTGTTGTAACATACTGTATTTGGTTTATGGATGACAAACAAAGGTCGTCCACTTAAATAACTGAATAATGCTGAATTATACCTCGCGTTATGTGTGTGACCCCTTTACCAAGAATTTCACCACTTTTATACAAGAAACCCCCTTGTGTGTTTTTTGTTTGTCAGTTTACGTTCAAAAGTAAATTGTATATTTAAGACATTGTGACCTATTCTGTTCATATTTTTTTTCTCTCTCTCTCTCTCTCATTCTCTATCTCCCTTTCTCTGCCTTTTCTCCCTCATTGTGACTCGTGCGCATCTCTTTTCTCTTTCTCTCTCTTCGCTTACAGTTCAAATCTCATATATCATTTCTGCGTTCCATTGCTCTCGTCTCGTGTCTATACCTTCTTCTCCACTCACTTCAATCTTACCTAACCCCCTCCCCCAATTACATTCTCTCCCATCTTGTCCCTTTCCTTGACAATGACCAGTCTCCATACGCTTTCGTTTTATATTCACGTACTCATACATGTACATAGACGCGAGCACGTGTGTAAACATGTATGTATGTATATGTAAAGAAAGTGTCGGGGTGCGAGGGCAGAGCGAGCGAGCTCGTGCATCCTTGTGCCTTTTCAGTGCCGCAGTGTTGTTGTGAACTACAAAAGCTCACCGGCGTGTCAGGAGAACAAAATGTCTACATAATTACCTCGCTAGCCCGTCGTTGCACGGAGGAAGCAAACTAACGTGCAGTGTGTGCGTCGGCATATAATAAATGCCAGCTTGGTCTAATGAAGGAGTACATGTGACAAGTGAAGGTTTTATTGCCAATTTCTGAAAAGTTTGACTTGGTCCAGTGAGCATTTTAATTTCGGCTAATTCGTCTGTCTCCTGTAGAGGAAATACCCTATTATAGCCTCGGGACTGAAATTACCCAGGTGATGATTCGAGGAGAAATAGATTGCCTACATAATGTAGAAATAATGAAAGGAAGGCTTTTTCGGCAGTGGGGCTATTATCTATTTGTAAATAACAGGCGATCATTGTGAACCGGGCGTCCAGGTTGATATCTCTCATACGAACCATGTATCTGATGAGAGTCTTCGCTGAGTGTTTTCAGAAAGTGTACAAAGCATGAGAATGGTTTTTTTCTGCCAGAGCTGGAATATCTTATATAGCTCTTGTCCCAGCCGAACGCAAATATTATGCTTGCCACTGGAAATCTAGGTGTTTTGTTAAGCCGTAGCTGCGAAAATATCTCGTGTGACCCTTAAAAAGTGTATCCAGCTGTGACTAAATATGCTAATTTTGAAGTAGGTCTATAAATCAAATAATTGGACTGATGATTCAAAATGCCGACTGGTATATTCAGGTTTTCTTTCGTGGAAGATTGAATGGCAGTCGAGAATGTTTTAACCCTTATGAATGTGGGCGCAGCGCGAGATGCACGAGTAACTCTATAAACCCAACCCGACAGGTGTGTAATATCAACATTAATCACTACACTTTCTGAAAGAAAGCGTCCTTTAACAGCGACGGAATGCCAAGCAACAATATGTATATAATGTCTGTGAACAACGCAATGTTCGGTAGCACGTCATCGCGTATCTGTTACCAAATAATTATAAACGTGAAACCATATATTGAACGTGCATAGACATTGTCACGATATAAAATTCTCACATGTACTAACAAAGTTATAATAATACATAATTCTGCACATGCAGCTGTAATACGACGCAGGTGCTAATATCTACATCTATATCTATATATATATATATAATTATATATATAAATAGCAAGAGTCCATTAATAGAAGATAATTTTTTCTATTAGAATATTTTCTATTATGGACCCTTGCTATATATATATATATATATA